TACTATTAAATAGGGAGCCTGTGTACGTTATACTAGTATCTAATTCTAAGGACACCTCTATATCCTTTTTGCACGTTCGCGCATTGTGCCTAGTCCTACTGCAGTTCCTACAGCGCCAAAGAGCTAGTTAGGCTAGTTCTTAACTACTACCACCATAAGCCTTCTTAGATCGCTAAGGCGCTATAGATGCCTTAGCAGCTACCTGCGCTGCAGCAGTCCCATACTCTATAGTACCACCCTGCTGAATCCGCTTGCGCTTACGCGATTTTCGCTTAGTTATCTCTACTAATTGCTCTTCAAGCTTATAGATCCAAGCATATTAAAGCGCATTTTTATACAGCATTAGCTCACCACCTTTTATAAGCTAGGAGAAACTAGCCTAAGCTATAACAGGTAAGCAAGTAAAGGAATTGTGTATAAGCTTTAATTAAGATCTAAACTTATAGGTATTACTTAGAGTCTTTAACTACTATAGCGTCTCTAGGAGGAGGGGTTCTAGCAGGGTACGCAGCCACACTTTAAGGTAATCTAATACAACCTGCGTGTTAATTAGGACTAGCCCTGCTACCTTAAAAGCCTTTTAATAGTTCTACTCTGTAAACATGTTAAAAATACGTCCTTAAAGGCAGGGAGGAAGCCTTCTTTGTTAATATAGAAGACGCGTTAGCGTGCCAAGTCTCTAACGCGCTGGGAGTACCTGCGCTTCAGCAGCAAGAAGCAGACCACATCAAGCAGCTAGAGGATGTGCGATAAATAGGGGGGCATACAGAGGGTTAGGATCTTGTGTTTAAGGCAGTAGTCCTTGAAATGCTAGTTAAGGTGGCTCTTATAGCTGTCTAAAATAAGCAGCTAGTACCCCCCTACCTAGCGCGTCTTTATATGCGCGTTAAAGTGCTTTAACCACTCTAGACCAAGCACACTGTTTGTCTAGCTGTTCTTAGAGACTAAGAGCTTCTAATTACGCAGTATTAAAGCCTCCTTGTACTAGGCAGAGATGTAGATGCGTCCCTTGTAGATAATAAAGGGTGGGGTTGTGTACCTAGCAGCGCAGATGCTCTAGATAACTGTAACCTACTCGCAATTGCCTGGCTAAACAAGCGCAGGTTAGGCGCGTCTCTCTGCACCTGTGACAACCTTTATAGAGCTAATTACGCCTATCTAGAAGCTAGTCTTATTAAAGTTATACATGTTGTTATTATAGACGCTATACTTAGCTTTATTCTCCTCTACTAGCTTAAACTACACACTGATTATCTCTAGATCCTCCTAGAGTATTCTCTGCCTATCCTTTGCTTAATTAAAGGCTATTTTAAGCTTAGGTGAGCGCGTTACAAAGCAATCAGCCTAGCACTTGCCAATAGGCTTGCTACCGCGTACAGCCAGCAGTTTATCAGCCATATCTGCTACCTCGCACAGCTAGGGCGCAAATCCTCGCAGGTTGAGGTTGAGTATGTATTAGATGATTGTCTGCTGTTCAGTCGCAGTAAGCTTCTAGCAGTTAGGGGCAGCTTCTGCGCGAAATGTAAGTCCTTAGACGCAACAAGAGAGTGTACAGTGATCAACGTTAAATGCCTCTGCAGCAGCCTAGTGGCTTCAGAATTGTCTAGATTTCAAGGCTTCAATAGCAAGCTGAAGCCTCCCTTCATGTTCAAGTAATAACGCGTTTGGTAGTTGAGGCATGTTAGAGAGAGAGAGTAGGTAGAGGGCTTGGCAAGTTTTGGGACACTCGGTGATGTGGGACACTCGGTGATAGTTTAGGTTAGAGGTACGCTTAAGTAATGTATATTTCGATAGATGAGCCTAGAATTGCGCTTTCCATTAAAGAAAATTTACCTAATTTGGCCTAGTATTAACTGGGTTATTGAGCCTACCTAGCAAAAGCCTACCTAGGATGGGTATGCTCGCTGTCAAGCCTCAGCTCCGGCCACTGATGTAGTAGTCTGGCCAAAGGCCAATAAAGGATATCTACTTCCTAACAACTTTTGCTAAAAAGCATGCACAAGTTATCTTGACGTCTAGTTAACTGCGTAGATAATATATATCCAGCTTTAGCCAAGCCGGCTAAGCTAATGTAACCGGCTAGCTCTAGCTCTCCTTTAGCTTTAGAGTCTAGACCGTTACAACTGAGACAAGCAAACCAAAAGGTGACATGGCTCACACTGATGGTGAGCCTGCGCTGGAACAGTACTGATATTGTTACAAGACACAGGTCAGAGGTAGCTTTGCTACATGCCTTGTCATGGGTCAGAGGTGGCTTCGCCACATGCCCAGCCTGACACTCGCTAGGTACCCCCCTTTTTTAATGTCTTTTAGATTTAACAGCTGTAATATAAGAGCTGGAAGTGAGAGTTATATAAGGGAAATAAACCGAATGTAATTCTCTTTAAAATAGGCCCTTATTCGCCTAAATTCACCTAGTATTAGCTAAGTCAGGGGGGGGTACCCAATCAGGACTTAAAAGCCTACCCATCCGCCAGCCTGTAACAACGCGCTACGAACAGTGACCCGATATCACTAGGATACAGTTCTAGCAACTCATGACCATGGCTCTTGTCACATAGCATAAGGTTGCACTAAACTGCCTCTAAACCCTCATATATAAGGAGCAAGGAACTGTAGCATTATAGAGTAGTTTCTCTATATCCTTTTATACAAGACCTATAACGTAGATTATCACCAAGCCAGCTATATCACCAAACCAGCCATTTTCTCTTAGCACAACTAATACAAGTTACTATAACTACAACTACTTGCTATTAAATAGTTACCTAGCATACTATATGCTTGCATTAGATTTAGAAGATGTTTCTACACCCTCCTAGCACGTTTGTGCGTTGTGTCTAGTTTTGCTGCAGTTCCTACAGCGCTAAACAGTTAACTAAGCTCCTAGTTGACCACCTCCACCCTAAGTCTTCTTAGATAGCTGAGCTGCTACACACGCCTTAGCAGCTACCCGCGATGCTGCTGGGCCATACTCAAGTGTGCCACCATGCTGAATCTGCTTTCTCTTACGCGATTTTCTCTTAGTTATTACTGCTAATTGCTCTTTAAGCTCTTGCACGTGGG